AAACTGTAAAATAAGAGTGGGTAATTTTTAATAGAAAAATAAAATAATTAAACTTGAGATGGCAAATCATGAATTATATTTCAGAAGATTAAACTAAGGTATTCATATTCATTTTTTAAATTTTATAAATTTGAGCTATAAAAAATAGATTTTCTATCAAATAGCTATAAATAAAACAATCATGTTTTTCTTGAAGAAAAAGGCCAAATTTAAATTCAGAAATTAATTTCTGGTTTAATAAATATTGGTATAATATATAAAAATTTTAAATACTTTACTGAGCTTAATTAAATTATAAAATCTTTTAATTTAAGAATTAAAAAAATATTTTTTATTCAATTAAATTTTTTAAAAAGGAAATTTCAACTTTTTTATTGAAATAAAATAAAATAAAATCTAAATCAGTTTTGAAAGGGAATTAAGTAAAAGAAAATATGGAAGAATATTAACTATTTGTCTTATTTTTAATATTTTTATATCAGCTATAAAATTTTTAACTCAATTAGTTTTATAAGATGATAAGCCTCTCTTAAAATGTTCATTGATAAATAAAAATTATGGTACAATTAAAATAAGATGAACAATATATATTAATAAAGCTATTTCTAAAATAAATGTGCTTACACCTTTTAATAAGAAAATTCACTATAAAATTTATTTACTTTCAATGATTAAATTAGAAAAATCTGTATATATTTACACTTAGTTAATATTTTCAGATTTGTTATATTATTTATAAAATTAATTGATGATATGGTATATTAATCAAATTTTCAGAATTAATGAGAAACAAGTGAGTTAAAGTAATTATTCTTACATAAAAAAAATATTTAATTTCTTCAAAGGTCAAAACTTAATAATTTATTTATTTCCACCTCAAAGAAAATTCTTGTTTACTTTTATTAATAATTCATCCTGAAACTATTTATTTTACATTAAATGAAAAGAGATTATTTTAAATGAAGATGATTTTATAATTATAAAAAGATGGTTGTTACCTTAAATTAAAAAATTAGGCCTATTATTCCTTAAGAAATCTAATCAAAAATTAGTAAAAATTTAAAAACCATTAAAATTAATTCAATTGTAAAGAAAATATTTTTAATTTATTGTACTTTTTATGAACATATCTAAAAAAGAAAATTCAATTTTTTCTTTACAATTTTAATTAATTGTCATTTTTTTAGTATTAAATTGATATAATAAAAATTTTGAAAAATCAAAACCATAATTTTTTATTATTTAATTTATATTTAAATAAAAATCAAAATTTATTAATCTATTTTCCTACTTTTAGTAATATATGAAATATTATTTTTTAATTACATTTTCTAACATAAAATAATTTAAAAAATATTTTAGTCTTTAAGATAATATATTTATTAAATAATTATTAAACATATTAAAATTTACTTCAATATTTTTATAATCATTTAATTAATTTTTATCTTCATAAAGAACACAAATTTTTTATTGATAATCTAAAGAATTTTAAATTTGTATGTATATCTAAAAAACTCATTTTTTACTACCGCTTTTTGCATTATAATTTTTAAATTTTCTATCATGAAACCTTTCTAATTGATATATTTTAAAAATAATATTATTAATTCTTATTTAATAATATATTAAATTATTGAAAATCTTTAAATACATTTAATTTATTTTTTATAGTTTAATTAAATTCAAATTCTAGTATTAAATTTTAAATAAATAATTAATTGTTATTTAATCACTTTATGTATGTATATATTAGTAATAATTCATCAATTTTCAAATTAAATTTTTGTTGTAAAAAATATTAATTAAATCTACTAACTAATTAAGAAGATAGATAGATATTCATTATTTAACTAATCCAACTGTTATTTAAATTTATTTATTTAAAAAAATGAATAAATGTCTGTAACATCCAGATTGCTACCTGAAATACTTTTGTGTTGATCCATGTTGCCCATCATAAATGAAAATATGCTGCGCTGAATGCTAAATTGAAGGTCCTCATAGAAAACATGATTTTAAAAACATCAGTGTATTTAAAAATTTAATAGGAGATATTTCAACATAATGTGCTGAATTTTTGATAAAATAAGCTAAGCCAGAAAGAATAATCGAGTAGGTAAAAGAAGAATTTGAATATATGAGAATATATATCACTGAATCACTACAAAAAATGTAAAATTATTGCATTTAATTTATTAATAAATCCAATAATAATTAAAAAACATCATCATAAGACATCAATTAGGAGGATAATAATCAAAACTCTGAATGGTAGCAATAAATTAATTAACTTAATAAGCTAAGCTAAGATTCTATCAAATAAGAAAATGATTTTATAAATAATTATGATTAAAGTTATTTATATAACTTATTCAATAAAAAAGAGCAATTCTTCTTTCATTTAATAGAAAATAACTCTTTTCCTTTAAAGCATATTAACTCTATTAAAGTTCAAGTAATTAATATTTTGTAAGGAGTTTAATAGTAATTAAAAGAAAAATTATCCTTAGATAATTCAGCTTAAGATATAGTTTAGTAATATTTCGATTTATCTTAATTCCAATCAAAATTAGTCAAAGAAGAAGCCTTAAATATTTAAAATGATTTATTGCAAAAATAAGATGATAGCTTAAAAGTAAGGCTATTAAAAGATTATAATGAATATAGTTTTTTAGTTGTTACTAGTGATAATATCATGAGAATTTATGATAAAAGTAATCTTAAGATAATCAGAGAATTTAAAGGGCATACATGGCTAATTAATGATGTTATTATATTGAATTCAGATAGAAGTAATAAAAATCAAACACATTTCAATAATTAGTAATAAATAAGTGAATATGATCAGTTAATTAGCTGCAGCTCTGATACTATAATCAAAATTTGGAATGTGAACGATTAAGTTGTTTTGTAAAATATCAAATCACATTATCTTGAAGTGACTTCGTTGGTTTTATTCGATGAAAATAACCTTATTTCTGCTGGCAAAGACTCATTAATTTTTTTTTATGAAATTACTTATTCTTAAAATAATAATATGTAGTAGCCTTTTATTATTGATGAAAAAGACCCTTAGGATATGCAATTAGAGAAATAAGAATAAATTTCAAGAATTAAAAAAATGATTACTAAAATTACATAGGTTTATGAGCTAAAATATCTTGAATTTCCTATAAAATAAATTGAAAAAATAAATGAGATATTCTTTGTAGCAGGATATATGAATGGTGTTATTGCCTTAGCTAATTTTGAATAAAAGTAGTTCTTATATTGTTTTGAGGATAAGCATGATCTAGGTTTGTATTGCTTAGCTAAACTTGATGAATCTACTTTCTGCTCAAGTGGTGGAGATTCAAAAGTCAAAGTTTGGAATCTAACCTAATCTCATTCAATATCTGAATACTAATTTACATAATAAGAATACATAAACAGGATTAAGGTTTTAAGAAAAAATAAATATATAGCAGTTTCACATTCTAATTAAATTGATTTGCTATCATACTCTTCTTAAATTGATGATAAATAAATTGGAAATCAATAAAAAAAATCAACAAAAATACCTTCATTTGCTTAGAAAAATAATTTATTAAAAGTTTTACAAGTAAAATTAAAAAACCCTAATGAAGTTAGCGATTTTTATTTTGATTAAATAAAATCAAATGAAGAAAACTATTAATAGGTTATAGTAATTGGAGTTAATTAACCTAAAATTCTTTATTTTAGTTGAATTTTAATGACACTCCAAAAATTGTCAATTAAAATAATTAGAATATATCAAAATAACAAAAGATAATTTTTAAAAAAATTTAATTTTTTAATACTAATCATATTTTAATAATATATCTTTTAACATAATTATTTTTGTATTGTAAATTTTGGGAAATTTAATCATGTTTTAATAATATCTAAAAAATGAAAAAATAAAATGAAAATGTTAAATTTAAACATCTGTTGAAAAAATTAAAAATAAATACAATAATTATTATAATACATAAAATTGCTTTAAATTAAATAAATAAATAAAATTTTAAATTATTTGTTTTAATTTTAAAATTATAAAAAAATTTAAAACCAAAATTATAAAAATAGTAATTTATTTTATTAATCTAATTTAGTTATAGCTTACTTCATTTAAGCATCCATAATATTTTTATTTAAACAAATTATATGGCAATTTAATTAAGGTATTTAGATAAGCGGATTCAAATTTATTAAATAATCCTACTCATTATTTTTTATAAAGTAAACAAAAAACCTATCTATCTTTCATCTATATAAATACTTTATTTAGCTTTGATATCTATTTCAAGATAAATTAGTATAGACAGAAATAAATAAATAAATAAATAAATAAATAAATAAATAAATATTAATAAAATACTTATTAGAAAGTAAATATGCTTGTAATTTAATTATGAAGATCTTAATATTCAAAAATATAAAGCAAATTCATAGGTATTTATTAGTCAATAATTTTTTATTTATTAATCTATTTACTAAATATTATTAATTTGAAGATATTTTTAAGCTCACTTATTGAATTAAATTAATTAATACAGTTAGAATGCAAAAAAAAGTATAATCTTTAGAATAAGAATATATAAAATAGTTGTATAAAAGCAATTTATACAAAATAATCTATAATGAAATATTTAAATAAATTAAATATTAAAAACAACTGATTAAATTAACTAACTAAGAAGAAAATCTTAAATAAAAATGCTGGGTTATTTATTAATACCTCTATTTCTATACTTTGTTTATAGGTTCATAATTATTAATCTGATCATCTATTTTCGCTACAAAATTAAATTCGGAGATAAAGTTGCCTTTTTATTCTATCCACTGCTCGGCGGCTTAGGGATATCTAGAAAGTCTTATAGAAAGTATGGCGATTCACTACATATTTTGAAGTAGATATAAAGAAACAAACCTGATATGAAGGCTGTTGTCATATTTAATGGTTTCAACATTTAAATAACTTTGATTGATACAGGGTTACTAAAGGTCTTCTTACAAAATACAAAAAATTATTATAAGGCCGAAGGCCCTTTTGGTGCAAGATATGTTTTCGGGTTAGGCTTAGTGAAGTCAGAAGGCAAGATATGGGCTCGCTAAAGAAGCTTACTTTCAAATACCTTTCACTTTAATGCTTTGAAGGATCGTGTTCCTGTGATTAAAGAAATAACTAAAGAATATCTTTAGAAACTTGATTCTTACAAGGATAGTGCAGTTCCTATCATCGAAGAACTGTAAAACATTACTTCAGAAGTGATCATCTAAACATTTTTTGGAGAAAATTTGAGAGACAAAAAAGTGAATGATCTTCAACCATCTGTGGAAATATCTAAAATCATTCTTGAAGGTTTCAAATATAAAGCTAATAGTTTTCCATATTTTTTGAAGCTCATGGTATTTGGCTAAGAGAAGGCTTTTAGAGTCTTAAATACATAATTTGAAAAGGATTTCATAAAAAGAGTAGAAAATTTCAATTAATTTATAGAGGAAATTATAGAAATACGCCTTAATTAACTATAAAATACATATGAAACCTCTCAAGTGGATGAAAATTTCCTAAATCTATATTTGTTAGAATATATTAAGTAATAGAAGGCTTTAAAAGAGAATTCTAAACAGTTTGCAGATTATGAGTTGATTTCTAAAAGAGAAATAGCACATTAATTTTCTACCTTCTTCTTTGCTGGTATGGATACTACTGCAAACTAAACTGGCATTTGTCTTTGGTTATTAGCTAAGTACCCTGAAATATAAAAAAGAGTAAGCGATGAAATTAATTAAGCTGTGAATAATTTTGATTAGTTGAAGCATGAAGATTTGAGTAAACTGGATTATTTTAATGCTTTTTTCAAAGAGTCACTAAGAATGTACCCAACTGCACCTCACATCATCCCTAGAGTTTCTGCATGCGATCATTTCGTTGAAGATTTTTTTGTACCAAAAGGTGCTATCATTAACGGTGTCACTATTTAGCATAATGAATAAAAATATCCTAGCTTATGCAAAGAAATAGACACTTTTAACCCTGATAGATTCCTCAATTAAAACGTTATTTAAGACCATTTCAGTTTTATCCCATTCTCTGCTGGACCTCGTAACTGCATAGGACAACATTTAGCTTTGATTGAAGCTAAAATAATTATTATTTACATGCTAAAGAATTATGTGATTATACCAAATGATGAACTTGAAAATGTTGAATTTAATCACTTATTTGTTTATACAAGTATATAAAGGAATCTCATTAAATTAAAGAAAATTAAAAGTGAATGATGAAAATAAAAAAATAAAGATTATGTTAAATTTTAGTCAATATTTATTTTTATATTTTGTATTTTTTATTGATTTTAATTTTTTTAATTTTATTTTAAAATTTGATATATAAATTAAAATATGAATGAATTAATGTATTAATAAACAAATAATTACTTTGATTTTAGTTGACTTAATAAATAATATTGTTTAAAAACGAAAGATCTAAATTAACATTTAAAAATAAAAAGTAGATTCTTTCAAATTATTATTTTTTCATATTTACTTTTCCTGTTGCTCATAAATAAATTCTTTATGCATTTGAATAAAAAAATTATAAATTGATTTTTGATAAATTTTTATAAAATCAAACATTTTAAAAGCTCAATTTGGAAAAAAAAGTGATATTTTAAATAGAATATATAAATACTTAGAAATTCAAATAAAATTTAACTTGTTTTAATAATATAATGTATGTAAAAGTTTATTTTAAAGAAAATTTTTTAGGAGATTTTTAAAGTAGATTTTATATCTAGTATTAAAATACTAAATGTAATAAATATAAAGGATTTATTATAATTATATTATATAGTATATATTAATTAGTGATTTACTTAGTATTTATTTTTATTATTTTAATTGGTTTTCAAACAATTTGTACTGGTTTTTCTTGTTTAAGCAATTGCTTTAATTTTTGTAAAGTAGATATTTCTTTGTTTCCATCAATATAAGCTACTATCTCGACATTATTTTTCATATAATCAGTCACATTGGAATCAATGTCCTTGCAATTTTCAGGTTAGAGTTAGCACATCAAAAATCCACCTCCTTTAACCATGATTGTGGAGGCTTTTTTAGAGTAAAATAATCCACAGAAGACTTTATAAGGAGAATCAAGACAGACACTTAAAAATAAATGAGCAAGATTTTTACCAATATATTTGTCTTGATATTCCTTTCTGACACCGTAACCAGAGCCAATAACTATGTCTCCTTTTTTGTAAGGAATATTGGTAAGGGGTTGTATTAATTTTTTGTTAATCTTTTTTAGTATTTATAGATTTTTGGAAGTTGATGGAGAGGATTAGGATTCTACAAAGACAGTAAAGTCTTCAGCAAAAATTGAGCCAACAACTTTTGTGCTATCTACAGAGGTATCAATAGCAATGATTCTAATTACAGAGTTATTTATGAAGTCTTTAGATCCTTCTTCAATAGCAGATCTTCTCACTTAAAAGTCAGAGTAGATTGATCCTTCAATCAGTCTAGATTCAACTACAGTCTCGTAAGCAGATTCAAAATATTCATCTGAGTAGATTTAGTATCTTATGTTGTTTTCTTCGTGGATTACAGTTCCAGGAGGATAGAAACTCATTTTTTTTTAATTAGTATATATATATTTTTTTGTATTTAGTAAATAGATAGTATTTTATTTTTTATTATTTATTATATTTTACTGATCCTAGCCAGTGAGTGATTTTTAAATTAAAATAAAATATAATTTTCTGAATAATATTTGCTAATAATATGAACTAAATAAATAAATAATAAGAATAATATATAAAGTTAATGGATTAATTTTTTTTTGGTTTAAGAGTTTGAGTTGTTAAAAAGTTAAATTATCTATAATTTAATAAGATTTTCTATTAAGTAGGCTCAATTTAATTTAAATTGAATTTTAGATATGGATTTGAAATTATGATAAAATCAAACATTTTAAATTTATGGATATTTTTTGACTATAATTAATTTCTGATTACCACAAACAGCTTCAATGGCTCAAAAAGTGCAATTGCCTGATTTTGGCTTTAATTAAAAAATTTATGGAAATGAATTCATGGGTATCAAAAGTTAATTAATAAATGTGGAAATTAATTGGAATCTAAGTCCTTTCAAAACAAATTCTGATAAAAAGAGGCAATAATTATTGTAATGAGGATATGCAAATAGCATAAATTAAATTAGTCTAAATAAATCACTTGCTTATTTGATCAAGAGTAACCAAAGAAAAAATTAACATTGGATATTAGATTTAGTATTAATTAATCACATTTTTAAGTATTCTTCAGTACTTAGTTCGTAATTTAAAAAAAATGATTCTTTGTATGAAAAGGTGTTTGCAAGCATATTTAAAATTTAAAATATGATATAAATAAATCTATTTAATTAAATTAATAATCTAATAGTCTTATATCAGTTAAGAATTTATTAGGTTTTACAGTCAAAAAAATATCTTGATTTAGGAATTATCTAATTATAAAAACAGGTAAATCAATCTTTTAGTTATCTAAGTATTTATTTCTTTAAATGAAGCAGTAATTGCTATATCATTTATTTAATTTTTGAATGATTTTTTTAAAATTATTAATTTTGGCATTAAAAATCATTTTAAATATTAATATTTTTACAAATTTCCAAGAACTTATTGAGTCTATTATCTATCTTTATCTAGCAATATAATAAATAAATTTTTATTTTTGATGATACTTACTGAATTTTGTGATAATAATAGCGGAAAAAACATAAACATCAAAGATATATACAGTAATATTTTTTTAAGGTAAGTAGATGCTTTATTTATAATGAGGGTTCAAATTTTACTCTTTTTTTTTCAATATATTTTACCTACCATTCATTTTTTAAATCTAAAAAAATGTTTCTGTTTGATGAAAGTAAATTAATCAATCGATAAGAATTAACCCACCAAAAATAGGATTAAAATAATATAAAAATATTTTTATTCAAAAAATATGTTAAGGTATTTTATTATACTGAGATATGTTAAGTTTATAATTATATTTTTCTTATTCGATAACTGAGTAGGTATCAAAAATATTGGCTTTGTAAAGTTAGTTACTTATTCTTATTTTAAACTGTTTTTGATGAATTTTAGTTACCAATAAATCAAAATATCTTACCCTATTATAAATAAATAAATAGATAATAAGTACAAGAATATTTTGCGTTGTAGTGTAATTATGTAATGATGTATTAATGGCTAAGTTAATAAATAAATAATAGCTATTTAGTAGGATTTTTATGATCAATAAGACAATCAAATATTTTCTTATCAGAATTAAATATTTCTATTTATTTTTTTGCAATTAGCTTCCAAAAATTAACTAATACAAATTAATGAACCAAAATTTGTTTGTTTAAATCATGATTAGAAAAACCCCAATTTACATCAAAATTTTTTGATAAATTTGAATAGACTTAACTTAAATTTGTTATAATAAATCTTATGTGATAGTCCGCAATTTATGCAATGGCTATAAATTTTCTATTTACTAAATTCACTTTCTTCTAATTTGATTAAATTCAACAGAATTGTGTTTTAAATGTTTATTTACATTCCAAGCTTGTATTCATTAATAAAATATAATTGTCATAGCTTCCATAAATCTTTGCTCAAATACATTTGCTTAGTCGATAAGGATAAGCTTTGTCAATCATCCACTGCTCAACTTGCTATTTTGAAGATATAGAATTATTTATATAGATTATTTAAAAATATAAAAATCTACAAAACTTAATCAAAAGCTTAATGGTTGAAAATAAAAAATCAGGTAGGACATAAAAAGATGAATTTAAAAAAAAAAATTTAATTAATAACAAGTTATGTTTGTTGTATTTACTAATCTAATTGTTTATTCGTATAGATGTTCAACATATAAAAAGCCATAATAAAATTTTTCCATATTTAATCTCTAGATAGTTGACCACAGTGAGCTAAAAATATTTACTTTAATTTGAAAAAAATTTAAAAACCCAAAATATAATAGGGAATAATATTCTTATTTAAAACGTCTAAAAAAGAAATTAAATCATGTTCAATCAGCAATTATATAGTATTATTATAAACAAATCAATAAAATATGATAAAATAGAATGATTTGAAAATGTTTATATTGTTAAAAGTAAGTAGCTACTTTCTCTTTAAAAAACATTCTTTAAATATTTCTAAATTGTGATCAATTTTAAATTTGTCTTGTATGGTTGTATAGAAAACAAAAAAAGGTAAGTAAATTCAAATCTATATTTAAATTATTAACTAGGTAAATCAAATTAAAAATTCCTAATTTATTTAAAATTAGTGCTTGAATGCTTTTTTTGTTTAACATAAAATTACATATAATTAACTATCTATATTTTTTCCTTTTTATTTACATAAAAAATATCTATTTTTATCTGTATTTTATTAATAGTATTAGATCATATTAAAAAAATAATAAAGGTTTGTACAGCTTAATAAAGAGGATTTATCTATCTATTTATTATTGATTATTTAGTTAGTTAGTGAATCAAATTAAAAGCGATATTCTCAAATCAGACTGTAAAATAAAAGTGGGTAATTTTTAATAGAAAATAAAATAGTTAAACTACAGATGGCAAGCCATGAATTTTATTTCAGATGATTTAACTAAGATATTCATATTCGCTTTTTAAATTATGCAAATTTGAGATATTAAAAATAGCTTTTCTATCCAATAATTATAAATAATACAATCACATTTTTCTTGATGAAGAAGGTCAAAATTTATATTTAGAAAAAAATTTCTGGTTGCATAATAATTGGTATAATTATCCAAAGATTTTAAATACTTTACTATTTAGAAATGTATTTTTAGTTAAAATATGAGGTAAATCAATCATAAAAAATCTTTTAATTTGAGAATTAAAAAACTATTTTTTATCAAATTAAATTTTTTAAAAAGGAAAATATTCATCTTTTTATATTGAAATAAAATAAAATCAAATCAATTTTGAAAGGGAATTAAGTAGTAGAAAATATGGAAGAATAATTAATTAATTAACTATTTATCTTGTTTGTCTTTAAATATTTTTATATTCGCTATAAAATTTTTAACTCAATTAGTTTTATTGGATGAAAAGAATCTCAAAATATTTATTGATATCACAAAATTGCGGTACAATTAAAATAAGATCTACTATATATTTAAATCTATATTTATTTAAATTATTATTTTTTCAAATTCGTAATTCATCGTACAAAATCA